ACATCTGATGTGTATAAGAGACAGGGTTTCCTCAGGCCTAGCGGCATCGTTACTCCAGATTCCAGCTGTAATGTAACTATATGTAAAAGTTGTGTGTGTGTTATGAATATGGTTGTTGTTATATTGTATAGCGCTCATGAGTGGTGGTTATGTTAAATAAAGGGTATAATTGTTGTATGATTACCGTATATTTGACTCTGTGTTTTTATTACGAGCTAGTGTGAGAGGCTAATCGTAACAATATATAAATATATATATATATATATATATATATATATATTTTATATATATATATATACATATATACACCATACATAATAGGCCTATATGTTAGTTCAAATAATATCAGCTGTTTAGAACACAATCAAGTATATTTTAATACAGCGATTCTACAATGCAAATAAACTACAGTACAGTATACGCACACCGACATTAAAGATAAACATACGTAAATTAACAAGTTGATTACTTTATATAATTTTTGTAGGCAATATTGCGATGTAAATAGAATCTATTCCAATACTGTTTTAAAATTTCTTACTAAAGAAGTTGTACCATGCAAAATACCTAACAAAAATATAAAAATATTTTTTTTTAATTAACTTGCTCATTTTGAAGCAAAATTATCAACTTGAACACTGTATTAAAAAAATGTTTAAACATAATTTTACAGCAAAAAGTGGTAGAATCACTTCCAGTAACTGGGAGTGTTTTTATTATTTTTATCATTATCCAGTATAATAAAGTATTTAGAATTGAGATTAATGAAAAGAATGCTTGATAAATTGTTTAACGAAAAATGTCCATTTGCTTCTGTCACGACTAACACTAATGCACGTCACACACCAATTATTATTATATTATTAATGCTACTGCAACACTCTTGCTTATAAGTATAAATATATTCATTTATCTTGTTAACAACTTTATATTATCTTTAAATAATTGAACACTGTATATAATCATAGTATATGGTACATGAGTTTACTATTAATAGTTATTTTCAGTCAAGAAACATACACAATTTGAACCCACGACTGATGAAAGACAATAAACTTTATTACATAAAATCATTTAACCACACTATATCATGGCTGCACCACTATACTGGATATATCATACAGTATGATGGATTTTTTTTGCAATAATATCACTTGAATAAAAGTATTCTTTCTTGACCTACGCGGATTAAGATATGCTTGGAAGAACTGCTGACTTTCTGCATTGCGATATGTCCTCCAGCCACGATACACTGCCAAGCTTCGTTCGGACGGGTTGACCTGACATTTACACCAAATTTTCTCATGTACTTTGCAATATCGTTTCTTGTACACCCGCCTCCTTTGCTTAGACACTCATTCAACAGATTTAAAGCTATCTCACGAGTTGCCTCGTCAACGTTGCTACTGATGATTTCTGGACGGAAAATGGTGCCGTCTGGAAAACATTTTTCATCGGCTGATGGAACTTTACTTAGAACTAACGTGTGGCCATCCACTTGTGCTTCGAATGTGTATTCATGGTCAAATCCATGGGATAGCTCAGGTTCGCTTCTTGCTATGAAACAGTTCCAGCTCTTCCCGTATTCCTTATTCATTTTACTAACTATGACAGTTGACCTTTCTCCTTCAAGATGATTTTCGAAGACGTCTCGAATGACACTACGACTGCGTAAAAGCATGTCTGGTGGCATAGAAGACTTCTCACCTCTGATATCACCAGACGGCCTCCCTGTAAATGTTAAACATAACGCTGGGGTTAATTAAAGCAGCACTTTCAAGCTGAAACTAACGTGATAGGAGACCAAAGATTCTCAGATAGTACTGGATACTAAAAATTGCATTTTGCTGATACATCCAGTCCTTGATTCAAAACGAACTTGCAGATTCATAATTTAATTGGATAGCTACTGGAAAAAAGGACACAAACGACATACTTACCCCTTAAATTTCGATATGCTCGGACGAGATCATCAAAAGAACGTTGAAATAATCTCTCAAAATGATCAGGTTGATTTGACAATGGCAAAGCTTCCGCGTCTTCTAAATCTTGTGTTCCTCCTGGTAGTAGATGTTTTAGATAAGGTAACTTTTGTTGCATATTGTCTCTGTGGACTTGCTGGAAGTCATCTGTGATTTTCTTTCTGGTGGTGTAAGTTGCTTCAAGTTCCTCAAGTTTTGGGTTGAGTTGACCTAGATGTTTTTTCTCAATATCTGCCGCCTCTTTTTTAATATACTCTACTCGTTTTTCAAATTCTTCAGTTGCTCGCTTGATAAAGCTTTCCAAACTGTCATCTTTTTGTTGTTTTATTGTTAGCTTGTAACTTTTAATCTCATCGATTTTGTTTTTGTATTTAGAATTTTCTTTAAGATAGTTCTTGAAAAGTGTGTCGACTTCCGCATTGGCTGTGTTAAGGCTACAAGTGTCGTGACCTGAGTGCCCCTTACATTGACAGCATATGAGTTCATTGCAGTGAGTGCACCACACGTCTAAGTTCCTTCGATGGGTACTACAACTTCTGCCGAATGTGGCATCAATTCGATCAGCTTTTGCTAAACAATCTTTTGCTTGTTCAGCTACAAAAAATGATGGCAGTTTCTCCAGACCATGGGATGGCACGTTGGTTTTCTTTCTGCATAAGGCACACTCTACACGTCGTCGATCATTCTGTGTAGCGAAATAGCCTTCCACGCATTTTAAGCAGAACGCATGTCCACATCCAAGTTGTTTAGGTTGTTCCATCTCACAAAAGCATATCGAACACTGAAGGATACCTTCAGCAAATCCCCTAAGCGGGTCCGTTTGCTTTTCACCTGCCATTTAATACTTACAGTTACAGTCGTGGAAGTGAACCTACAGAAAAGTCAGGGCAGTACAAAGATATCGTCAGCCGTCTGGTAACACAACGTTCGGTAGATTCCATTCAGTCGAGGGTAAACAAGGAAATATCTCGATAATACATTCTAAAGTAACACATGTTAACACGCCTACTTTTTACAAGTAGCACTCCCTGAATATGCAATTGAATCTTCCCACGGGAATTCCCAGTTATTTTTGCAATACCTGTACAGTGTAGTATTCTTAAAACCGGACTATGGACTCTGCCTACATACTGTATTGTTTATCATGCAAAATATAGTGTTTACCTGATTTGATAAGAAAACATTGAATATTATACCGCGGCCCAACTAAATATTGTCATAATGAAAGCAAGGGCCGCTAGCCAGCGAGCCGTCTGGCCGTATTTTGGACGGCCAGCAATTATTTATGACGGCCACATTTTTACCGTAACGGCTTGGCCTATTCAGATCGGCCTAGCCTGTACTGCAGTTGGTCCTGGTCTACCTTTAGAAACTTCTTTTTATACCTTCTTCGAATCTATCGAATGTTGCATTAAGAAAGCAAAATCAGATTTACGTTCGATAAAACAATACATATTGATTGAATTTACGTTGTACCCAAAAAAGTAGGTGCAAATTTAACGTACAACACGCGATATCGTGTTAAAAACATATTTATAGGCAATACGCATACACGTGTCTGCTCCGTGGATCAGCAAAACTATGGAACGCAAAAAGGACAAACCAGAAGTGGCGCAGAGCAAAAGTCAAGTGTCGCAGTGAAACTCTGTACTGCAACTCAGAGCCGTAGATAGAGAGAGTTTGGCCAACTCTGTTTCACGGGATTCGATACACGCGTTGGGTCGTTTGGTAACGACATGGCGTCCATGCGCCAAGTTGGCCAAACTCTCTCTATCTACGGCTCTGCTGCAACTCAAATGCGTGCGCCGCCACTTGACTTTTGCACTGCCACTTGTACGTTGTAGGCCTATTTTGGTGATACCACGCCAAAAGGACAAACTACAAGTTGCAGTGCAAAGTCAAGTGCGTGCAAAAGTCAAGTGGCGGGAGAAAATCGTTAGCAAATGCACTACAAATGCAATTCATTTATCTAATAATGCCACAGTTTACCACTTTTAACCACAACTCTTAACAATTAATGCTGAAATAAAATAGTTGAAAATATTGTAAAAAATAATTTCAATCATTTCTTCGATTTTAAATCAATGACTTATTTTTTAAAAAGAGTCAAAATTCAAAATCATTTCATTCATCAAATACTAGAAATTAATACTTTTTAATAGCAAAGTAGAAAAAGTGCCTTCATGATTTTAATATTTTTTGTATGTTACTATTTACCTTAAATTTTATAACTTTCAATTATCAAATCATACGTTTCAAATGCCTTTTTTTATGTCTGATTTTTATTTTTTTATCTTGGGCTGTTAATTACTAGACCTACGTTTTAATTTATGGGAAGCAAATTTCCAATTGTAGATGATGGTTGAAGAATTGAGTACTAATTAATTGCATGTGTAAACGGTGGTTTCAAAAGGAGGTAAAGCATACCAGGAAGTGGGATTCCCAGAATAGCATTCAATGGTGTTGAGGGTGTGTATTTAATTATTGGCCGTATTCGACTAGTCGTTCTTCGTCAAACCACGCCCACCTGTGCAGAGAGGTAGAATCCTACTTAACGAAGACGAACAGTCGAATAGAAAACTGGTAAATACTCGACAAAAAATGGCTGCATAGTTACCGCGATACACGGTTGATGTCCCCGACGAGAAAAAAGTGGGCGTGGTCGAGTGTTGCTAAAAACCTTTCGAAAGTAAATTTTAGAGTCTATCAATATGTAAAAAAAATACATTGGTATGGGGCAAGGGAGGGCCGCCTAGTGCCCCAGGAAGGTTCAGATTCTCCACTTTTAAATTTTGAAAAAAGGGGTTAATCTGCCACTGAAATACTCATCATTTTCAAATTATTCTGGTAATCATGCCTGCTTATATTTCTTGCAAAATAACATCCATAAAAAATGATTTATTATCTACTGATTAGCTTGTGACGAACCATGAAAAACAAATAAATAAACTTAAAACAGTCACTAATTTAGTCTCTTTTTCATGTACAGTACCTTTAAGTATTGAAATACACGCCATCGTGTTGGGATTCAATATTTCGACATTAATTATGTCATCATCATCATTCCTGATGATGACATAATTAATGTCGAAATATTGAATCCCAACACGATGGCGTGTATTTCAATACTTGGAGTATGTATTATACTTTCTTATCTGAGTACCTTTAAAATCAATCAATCTTTTTGAATTTCACATTTTGCGCAAGTGGTATTGCGATTACGCTATTGTGCGTGAAAATATACCGTCCAATTTACGATCAAACATGTCTAGGGAGATATGAAGTACACAAAACAGTAGTTAGAATTTTTATTTCACAAACATAAAGGGGATTTACTTAATTTACCATTATCAGTGGCGGATCCAGGAAACCGAAATAGAGGGGGGTGGGGGACAGGACAGGGAGGAACTTTCGCAGTTTTGGAAACCAGACCACCTCAGCTCCAATATGGTTAGGGCTGCGGCCAGAAAATGTATGATTATGACACGTACCTCTGATGGCCGGAAATGGCACTCTCAGAGCTAAATTGTAATTATAATTTTCCTTTTCTCCGCCATTTAAAAAAAAAAAATTGAAACATTTAGAGGGCCCGGGTCGGCCCCACTTGAATCCGCCACTGATTATTATGATGTCATTTGCGAAATATTTGAAATTAGGAAAACAGGAATCTCTGTATGCAGATAATATTAAACACTAGTTATACGGGTCATAATGTACAAACCGAATAAATCGTTTATAGTAGAAATTGTGTACATTTGAGTTTGTTAAAATGTTGGCCTAATAGGTTTACACGCTTCCTATTTTAACAACGTACAGTACATTGTTTTCACAATAAATTTAGCCTCTAATTGCGCCCATAAAATCGATAGAGTGGTTTCTGAGATGGTTACGAAATGTACAAAAAACTGCGTTTTTACTCTGTTTTGGTCTGGAAATACGCGCACCGACCGCACTTAAAAAAAAAGCACAAGTGAACAGACAAAATTCATGACAGCATCCGTAAATTGTTGTTCTTTCTACTCGCTTTGAAAAGTGGTGTTTTAATTGTAGAAGATTGCTGAAAAGTGGGGAGACAATTGATATGATTTCCCCCTTCTTGAAAAGGGGAAGGGGACGTGTCCCCCTGTCCCCACCGATCGACGCCCATGCTAGTAGTAGGCCTACTTTCTAAATACAGTTTGATTATCAGAGGGCCATTTTTTTCTCCCCAACAGGGGGCCAACTCTCCCCGACGGGGCCCTCGGATACTTATTGAATGTAAATTAGTTAGTTATGTTATTTTTTATACGTTACATAATAAACGAAGTCTGCTCTGCACGTTACTGGTTGCCCTTAGAGCGTTCCATACAATTTGTTTTTAGTGAGGGCGACAAACTTATATATACGCTCGAGCTGGCATATCGAACTGAAAACGTCAACAATCCACGTTGCAGCCTGCCAAGATCCGTTAGCGTCAGCCAAACAAAATGAATCGGAATGGAGGCGGTATGTTTATTTTTATATAATATGTAGCCTAGGCATAGTCTTTAAACTGTCCTGCCTACTGGATGAATAAATTGAAAGGATGTGGGCTTAGGTGGGCATACTATTAGTAATACGCCTAGCTAGGCGGCCTCCTACAGTATGTACTACTACGACGGGCCTGGGGCTCCTTCCTCCTAGGCTAGGCCTAGGCCTAGGGCCTACTCCTTCCTACCTCGCATCCCTGGCATGGTTATTTTAGCCTGGACCTACAGTACATTAGGCCTAGGTAGGTTATAGGCCTAGATCTATTGGAAGATGAAGACCCTTGCTCTAAACAGGGATCTCCTTGCTCAAAGATGTCAAAGTAATGCTGCATAAAAACATTTGTTGCACCACACACAGGCAAAAAAAAAAAAAAACAAACTAGGCCTAGTATTAGTCTAGTAGTAGTAGATGACAACTTTCTGCTGTAGCTTTGAAACCTAGCCTAGTACTGTAATAACCAACTGGAAGATTTTTCCCATGCCAACCTGGGCATTTTTAGTTTTTATACAAAAATGATAGCCTGTGTTAGCAATGGAGATGCCATTGGAGGGGGGGTTAGGGGTAGAGGGCTTAAGCCCCACAGAAAAAGTGAAGCCTCCCCCCCCCCACTGGCCGAGCTCGTTATCAAATAGGCCTACACCAAGCCAAAACATGTTTTCACAGTCATAGTGTGCCATTTCTGGACATCCAGAGGTCCCTATTTTTCAAAAAATCTTATTTGAGAGCTGGGGGGGTG